TTAAAGAGCAAAATCTCTATGCAGCAGAAAAGATTCAGCTCCCATCTTGCCCCTGTTGCTGCCCCTGCCTTCAACATAAACAGGTGACTCAGCACTCTGCCTCAGTTCTTTATATTCTACGATCTCCTTAGCCTTCTTTTGGTGCTCAACTTAACTAATCTTTGTTTCTTTGAAGGTGGTGAAAAACATCCAGTACATTGCCAACTGCTTCAGGGAGCAGAGAGCCACGTGTGCAAAGGTAGCGGAGTGGAAAAAAGTTGCCAAGGTGATGGACAGATTTTTCATGTGGATCTTCTTCATCATGGTGTTTCTCATGAGCATCCTCATTATCGCCAAGGCATCTTGACAGAGCCTTCATCAACAATAGTCTTCAGTGTTACTACATTCAAATATGTCAACATCAGATAAGACTATTGTTATCACAAAGAGACAGTGTGTGTATGTGAGTCTGGTTGAATTTCTTTGGTCTGATCACTCTGCTGCACACAGATTTAACCACTTCACTTAAACTCACCTAAACCCTCCCCCAGCCCTGTTGGGTAGTTAAAGTCAGGTGTACCTGCATGTGTCACGATGCGCCGGAGCTGTAAGACAATCCTGGCCCTTGCCTCGAACATGCATGGACTCTGCATTATTGACAAGCTAACAGTCAGACAACCAGCTGTAGGCATTATGTTTCTGACAATAAGCAACCAGATGCTGTTTCCAACTTTGCTCTCCATATTATACAAGCAGCAATGGAAATATTTTAAATATGACTCAATGAGAATTATGTGCTTTATGCATGATAAAAAAGGTGAAGAAATCAATAATGCAGTCTGGTCAGTTTTTATTAAAACACAAAGCAGAGGTCTGAATATTTCTTTCTTTATAATTTTATGACTAAGACTAGTTGTTATTATAAAAGTGATTATCAGAAAGAAAATTGTATCTTGACTAAGTTCTATATCTACATATATTAAGGCTGACCTTCCAGTTGTTTTGCACATTTTACCTCAGGATGATATTTTTGAATGGTTTAATCAAAATAAAAGTGTAATATTGTTCTATAAAAGGTTATATTTCCCAGTATTAGTGCAAGTGCACTGAAAGGGGAGGGTGGGGTAAGGTGTGTGGGGTACTCATTCCAATTTCTCCAAATAAAGCTCAAAATCCTTCATTAGCGGGTATGTTGCAATAAAAAAACAAACAAACACAAACTTTCATATGCTCAAGACTTCATTGTTGGACAATTATCTACTCAATGAGTAGATGATTCTTTTTATCACTACTGTATCTGCCATGTAGTAATAATACCTAAAGGTGGTCTGTTTGTATGAAGTACATAATAATGAACTTCTAAAATATATACTAAATATTAAATATTGTCTGCTCTAAATGCTTTTAAGCTACTGTATAAAAGTTTCAATACATGTAGCAAACTCATCTGCATTCTCCATGACATTGACCTTTTTGTTGGTAACTGTTCATTCTTTATGAAATTATCCCTGAACACTGATTTCTGAAAAATAGTCAACATTTTGACATAGAATATGTTATTAAAATCTTACAAATTATTTTACTAGAATTTGTTTTCTAATATTATTTTTTACTCATAGTCTTTTTGCATGAATTAGTCTTTAAATGGCAATTTATGCTGATTTGTGCTATATGATAAATACTAGTACATCTAATAAATAACCATCTTAAAATTCTAAAAAAATCGATAGAAACACAATAATCCTAATATTTAATACCCTATAAATGTTAAGGGCTGGTTGTATTATAAAAGTCTAATGCTTAACATCTGGCATTCTTCTGACTCTGTTGGGTTTCTACCCAGACTATGAGGCACAAACAGCTGTAAATACTCGCCAACAGCCCAACATCTTTTATAATTTTTTTCATCCTCATCCTCAGTGCTAAGCCAGGGATTAGATTCTTCCCACAGCAGCAGTGTGAGTGGATTCCGTCTCTAGGCGACCGTGACAGCAGCAGATGCCACGCTGAGGAGGTCCTGCTTAGAATTAGCCCTGAGATTTATTTTTTTATTTTCATTAGATTTAGCGTTGATGTGTGCATGAGACAGACCTGTGCATTGGACATGTATTAAAATACGGGACAAAACGCATCCCTTAGAGGTTAAATATGAGATGCAACATTTTGCTGCCAATGTTACACAGCACCGACTATTATAAGGGAGTGAGGTGGTGCTGTGACATGTCATCTGTTGCAGCTGATCAGATTTCAGGGGGGTATTGGGTAAATAGCAGATTTGTTCTTGTCACATTCAGTTTTGGACTCTTGCTTGGATTTACAATTTTCTTTTCCAAGTTGAGCAGATAAAGTATGATATGAGTCGCTATGATGCATAGAAATAAAATGAGTCTTCATTTTGAACTTAATAACAGGTTCTATCATGCTATGGAGAATCTCAAACCTAAACTGAAAACCTGAAGGTCAATATTTTAACCTAAAATGGCTTTCAGAAGGCTGTGAGGAATATTCTCCAAAAACTTAAAAATAGACCTAAGATAATAAAACAGTTATCAAAAGCAACTCCACAAACTTAATGAGACAATTAAAACAATTATTTCCTGTTTTTTGTGCAGTGGACATTTTTATTCCCTTTAAGGACAAGCCTGAAGGTAAGCCTACAAAATAAAATCTTATCAAAACTTAAAACAGCTCTTATGAACAAATATAGGAATAAAGCATTCTTAAAAACTACCTTAAGTGGCACTGAACAGTTAAACTACTTTTGTGAATATGATGAAAACTCTGACCTGAATTTTAATTTTCTAACACAATTTCAGTAATAAATTAGAAAAAACAACAACAACAAAGCAAACAAAAAAAGAATAATAATGGAAGAAAAAGACAAAATCCTTTTGCTTTAGGTTTGTCGCAGTCAGAAACCATAAACATTTCTAACTTCAGTGGAATACAGAATGAATATTTTAGACCCCAGCTGGAGCTCATTATTATTCCTATAAATAGGTGTCCTGGTTTCCAACTGAATGAACAAACATCTTCCTGCAATCACTGAAGGTCCCTCTTTATGTCATGTTTTAAAGTATAATTTTCTTAAAGTAATTCTCCCCCACAAAACTGAGGATAGATGAGAGAATAAATTGTTTTCTTTTCTGCTCATTATATAAAGTGACTGAACCGCCTGTCTAAAGTGGACTAAAGCATCAGTGAACCAAATTAAAACATAATTGAATCCCAGCTTAAAAATCTTTGTCTCCATCTAGTGGAGTCTGTAAACAAGGACGCATAAAGAAAATAATCTGCCACTGTTCAACAACACATATACTTCTATAACTTTTAAATATATGGTCACATTCCCACTACAAACCTTATTGTATTTCATTAGCCCCGTTTTACTTTAATTGCCACCTTCTAAAGTCCATTAAGTAGCAAGCAGCATCCAACTGTGTTTAATTTGATCTCATTATGAATACAGCTGTTCCACGAAAGCCTCAGAGCTTTGTTAAAGAACATTAGTGAAGACCACTGAACACAGCAGACATGTCAGGGGATAAAGTGTGAAGAGGTTTAAAGCAGAGTTGGGATATAAAACAATATGGTAAGCTTCGAACATCTCACAGGACACTGTTTAATTTATTATTTAAAAAATGTAGAGTATGAAAGATGCACACGAAGTACCTAAGTCTTAGGAGCAGGCAAAGCGCTTCTGTTGGTGCTGCAGGAGCTGCTGGTGAAGGCTCTGCCCCATTTGCAGTTTTTTCTGCTGCTGATGATAACCATCAAATGGTGGAAGGACCTCTCCTTGCATGACAGGGACCCTTGGGTGACACTGAAAGCTCCTTTGAAACGATATTTTGTTTACAAAGGTCAGTTCCTGAATCAAGTTATGTATCCCATCCTTTTTAAAACTTCTAGTTAAAACAATGTTGGTCCCGATTTTTAGCCCCGATGTTGTATTTTCTCGGTTCTGCTTTAAAAAAAAAACTCTGCTTACGGGCTGAATATTATTGGTGATACTGCAATTTGACCTGTATTCCCAGATGTACTGGTTCTATTTTTAATTTAGCAGAAAACCTTCATTTTAGAGAATTTTGAGCAAACATTTTGTCCCACCCAGCTCAGATCATGACAAACGACATCATAAGTTACCATAACTAAACAGATGACAGTCAGCTCAGCTATACACTGTAAAAGTCACCAGGTGACTGTGAACCCAATGGAGGGTTATGTAGATTCATAAATCAAATCAGTTCGCAGATATTCCACAATTTTCTTCAGTTGCATAAAAATGAAGGTCAGCCAATAATTCCTGGTACTTTTGTACTAAGTCAGCTTTTTATTATTCTGGTGTTCCATGTCTCAGAGAGCAGACTTTGAAATAAGCTACCTTAAGCCCGGCGTACACTGTGTGCGATTTTCGGGGGATTTTCCAGTCGTGCGAGAATGTTTCGATCGAGCCGACTTTCAGCCTGATTGTGCGTCGTGAGTCGTGTTGTGTACAGGGGGTTATGAGGGGCGATGAGGCTCATGAGGTCGGGAGAAAATCAAACATGTTTGATCGGGAGGTGGTCGTGAGAGGCTCATAAGGTTGGGAAAAAATGGGATTCTTAATATATGAGTTTGATTTTCTCCCGACCGTCGTGGGCAAATCGCTCATGGCGCAAACAAGGATTCTTCTGTAAATACAGCAGCGTGGCAGGGATGCAATGAGTGAAATGCAGTTCTGTCTGTAAAAATGACAGAACGTAGTAGCCACGTTTGCTCAGCCATGTCTTTTTTCCAAATATGTTGTCGCCTTTTCTTTTTAGGGCTTTCAGCACAAAATTGCCAGTGCGGTTCACTATAGTGAGCTTCATATTCCCCTTCTACATGTTTTGCTTCCAAATAGACGAGTCAGAGCAGCTCCATCTCACTGCGGAGCTGAGTACGACTAGTTTTTAGTCGTACAGTGTGAGCAGGTAGATCGCTAATCGTGAGCTATAAGCTCACACTGTACGACGAAACCCTGCGATAAGTCGTACAGTTGAGCAGGTGCTGCGTGCAACGATTGAAATAAATCGCACAGTGTACGCCCGGCTTTATAAATCACTGAATATCTTACCACCCAAAAACATAGATATTTGTTGTATAAACTGCTCAGGCCACTCCAGCCATGTTCAGTTCTTCACCAAAAATATGTAAAAATTGCTGTACAATTTATATAGTAGTTAAATACATGTAAATATTGTAATTGGCTCAATAAGAAAATGTTGTTCGAGGTAGTGAAGTTTTTCCTGTGGGACCAATTCTCAGTCTGTGACAGCAATGTTTGACTTTTTTTCAGTGTACCGTCCTGCTATTTATGATAACCAGCAGCTTTACGTTTCTGGTTATTAATCCCATTCTCCTTTAAATTGCTTTTACAATTCCCTGAGAATGCTGCACTTGCCTGAAGACAGTTATTTATAAATAGTTCCTATTTCAATAGATTGTTATGTATTAGTCTTTTCTAGAGTTTTATGGTGTAAAACAGATGCTACTTTCCTTTCATCTGTAGTTCTATCAGCACTGAACAAGTTTACAATGCGTGTGGTTTTAATCCATAACAGTTGCATCTTTCTGATCTTAGTCGGGACGGGAAACACATCGATTCCAGTTTTTCCTTCTCAGATGACCAGCTTACTTTTTTGATAAAACAAGCTAAGAATCAATTGAACTTTGCTCTCACTTACTTCCCAACATACAAAAACACTCACAAAACTCAGCAAAGCATAACAAACCAAACCCTGTATGCATTGATTCCAACTTTGCTCGACTGTGACTTATCGCTATTTTGTGAGTTCTCAGAAACCTGCTGTGTGGAGTGTTTTGGAGACAGACTATTGAACCACCTCCAGACAGATATTAAAAAGCTGATGATGATGATGGGCAGAGTTCATATTGGCTTTCACATGACAAACAGTTAAGATACACCCACAGTGACGGCACCTTTATGGCTGCTGAAGATCTTCAGTTTCCTCAGTTTGTGGGTGAAAATGATCAGGAACAACATGACATCCTTCCCTAAGCAGTCCTCCATCACGCCTGCTGGTAAGACATATTTTTCCTCCTCTTTTACTAATCTAAATATTCTAATTAACTGTGTCCATTTTTGACTCACCAGGAAAGAAGTCAACTCCTTCCTCCACAGCCATCAGAATGGTTTTAATAGGGAAGACAGGAAGTGGTAAAAGCTCCACTGCCAGCTCCATCCTGGGCCGGAAGGTCTTGGACCTGAAGCTCAGCAATCCCTCCATCAGCCAGCGCTGCCACAGGGCCAATGGAGAATTTCGTGGGCGACAGCTGCTGATTCTTGACACACCTGGTGTATTGGACACTCATCAGACTCTGCAGGATGTGCAGCGGGAGCTGAGGAGGAGCGTCAGCCTCCTCTTCCCCGGACCACATGCTTTCCTGATTGTTATCCAGATCGGAAGGTTCACTCAGGAAGAGAAGGAGGCGGTGCGACACATCAGGGAGGCAATGGCCCCCCATGCCTTGAGCTTCTCAGTGGTGGTTTTTACTCATGGAGACCGACTGGAAGAGGGCGCATCCGTGAAACATTGCCTGATAGACCAGTGTAGAGACCTGGCCGAGCTGGTGGCCGGATGCGAGGGAAGGTACTGTGTCTTCAATAACCAGAACCTTAACAACAAGGAGCAGGTCTCTGAGCTGATTGCTTTGGTGGAAGGCATGATGCAGGATCACGGGGAGAGCTACTATAACAGCAGAATGCTTCAGAAAGCAGAGGAAGATCTGGCACATCGGCTGGAAGAGCAGAGTAAGCTGCTCGCTGAAAAGAATGAGCTGCAGAGACATAAGCAGGACAATACGGTGAAGGAGTGGTATGAAAAAGAGTTAGAGAAAAGCAAGAGGGAAATGGAGGAGCTGAGGAAAAAACTGGAGCTGGAGAAAGAGAAGGAGGAGAAACGGGTGGAAGATCGGGAGAAGGCCATAAGGCAGGAGATTGAGAAGAAGACGCAAGAGGTCCTGAGACTGACAGAGATGGAGAAGAAGAAAAGAGAGGCTATTCAGGACAGGCTCGATAAAGTGAGCCGAATGTTGGAGGAGCAGGTTAAGCGGGAGGAGAAGATGAGACGATCCATGGAGGAGAAGATCCAGAAGGACAGAGCAGAAAATGAGAGGAAAGAGAGGGAGTGGCAGCTTCAGCTCATCCGAATGGAGCAGGCCCTCAGGCAGAGAGAGGAGATGGAGAAGGACACTCTGCAGGGAGAGCTGGACAAACTCTGCCAGAGGCTAGAAGAGCTGACCAAGAAGGAGGAGGAGAGAAAGAGGCAAATGCAGGACGTTCTCAGGCGGGAGCGGGAGGAGACTCAAAGGGAACTGGACCTGCAGATGGAGCACCTGCGAGCAGAAAAACGCAAAACTGAGGCCTTCAAACGGGAGCTGAAGTTCCTGAAGATCAAAATCGAGCAGCAGAAAGAGTGTGAAGAACGTTTGAAAAAACTCCTAGATGAGAACCTGCTGAAAGAGAGGGAAAACTGTGACAAGCAAATCTCCTCGCTGAAGAGGCTGTGTGGCCAAAAGTGCGCCGAGATACTCGAGAAGAGAGCTGCGGAGCCCCCTAACAGAGCAAGAGGTGTGGTCGGATATGTGCAGGAAATGGGACTGCTAGGTCTGAACGCAGCTCTGGAGAAAGTCGGAACTCCATGCAGCATTCAGTGACGAGTCAAAACTATATTCCTGATATTCCTGCCTTCATGTCCTGTTTGCTTTGATGGTAAAACACATCTGTACAGGAAACCAAAATGAAATACTTCGTGCAAGTCCAAGTTCAGACAAATGGATAGACGAGTCTTTGAAAATCTATTTTCTATTGTTTTGTTCCGGATTCTCAGTTACAATCGTATCTTAAATTTTATTCTAACATGCTTTAACCTAACTACAGGCCTGCAACCTATTAATTTGTTAAGATTAACCAACATTTTTATGATATACACTCCAACCAGCTTCCTTTTCTCAGCTGACAACATGATGCTTCCACTTCCGTGTTTCATTGCAGAGATTGCGAGTTATTCTGGATGCTATTGATTGTAATTTAAGGAATCCTAATAAAGGGGTTGAGTATAAACTTGTGTCTCAATTTCTGGGTATCACACACATCTTGTTAAATACACTAAAGTGTTGAGGTGAGAAAAGATGAGAAGAAATAAAAAATTGGTATAAATGCTTGGCTAGACTTTCTGTAATTGACTGAACCAATTACACACAGTCAGGAGAATAACTACCCATGTGAAGGAAATTTCATTCCAACAAATGGATGTGATTCCAGTGTGTGTCCTAAATCAGCAAATGCACAAACGCTCAGAAATGAAGGAGATAATCTGATTATGTAGTCTCTACCCTCACCCCTGTGCTGTTCTCCCTGTGTCCATTATTTAAATCTGTACTCAAACCAAACGCTGCTGCCATTATTCAAAGAACAAACATCTCTCTAAGGGTTGATTCTGTGTTTTTTTAAACATACTGTGATCTGGGCATTACCACCTGTTTATTCTAGGAACAATAAAGTCTTTTTTAATCTGCACCACATCCCCAGATGTGATTTAATATCATGCAGTTGTGTTTGTTATTGAATACACTTGTGTTGTTAATGTTATGGGTTCCAACTGAAAGCTTGATACTTGAACATTAAATAATGTTTTCTGAATGAATAAAAGCTGGACAGTAAGTAAGGGTTTGCTCTTTCAGACCAGTGTATCACAACGACAACATTGAAAAATGTCTTACACGTGTTAATGATTTTACTTGCATCAGTTGATATAGATGTTTTTCATAACACCTCAAATTTGAATTCTCACCTCTACTTAGTAAAATAAAAAATGAAGCACATACGAATATTTTCTATGTACTGCACATTACTCTGTCCACAATAAGATATCTTCATGGTGCTGTAGGGAAAAGATAAAATACACAATTAATATTGTTCATTTTGAATATTTTTTTCATTATATACATTATTAAATGCCTTATATAATTTTGCATATTTATAGCTAAAGTAAGATGCTTATCAATGTTTAAATACGACTTTAATAAGAAGCCATCTTGTTCTTCTAAATTAAACTTTTCACATGCAAGGGTGCATCAATTTTAATTAAAGAGGCTACCAGCCGATGGAACGACATATTTATATATGTAATACAACCATAAACGACAATATAAACATGGGGTTTAATTAATTATCTCATTAAAGAGGCTGAAATCGATTTTATAGATTAACTGCAAACAGACTGATGTGTTTAGGGTTTTATTTCAATAAATTATGATTTTTGTACTTACACCAAAGGTTCCCACATCATGATGCTTCCATTACCATGTTTCATTGGAGAGATTGTGAGTTATTCTGGATGCTGTTAATTGTATTTAAGGAATCAGAAAAAAGGGGTTGAGTATAAACATGTGTCTCAATTTCTGGGTATTCCACACAATGTTTTGTTATATATGAATTAAATAAGAAGCCATCTTGTTCTTCTAAATGAAGTTTTTCACATGAAAGGGTGCATCAGTTTTAATTCCAATGAAATATATTTATATATGTAATACAGCAATAATTGATCTAATTGAAAACAAAAACAATTTAAAAATGGGGTTTAATTGATTATCTCATTTAAGAGGCTGAAATCGATTTTATAGATTAATTGCATACAGCATGTTTTTGAGGTTTTATTTCTATAAATTATGATTTTTGTACTTACACCAAATACAATAACTAAATATAAGATTTGAATATTTGAACAGACTAAAATGCTTTTTAGATACAGAGATATGGATTTAAATAAAGGGTCTGCTTAAACATTAATATCTCTAATGAAGCTAAATCGATACATTGGCAGCTAAAAGATAGCGGAATAAGTTGATTCCATTTAAAACACTTTCCTAAACGAAACATTCTTTTATACTTTAGAACGTGCTACATTTTGGGATTTTAAAGACATAATTGAATTACGGTAGTTAATTTCTTACTATTTTGTCTAATTTTCAAACCTCCAAGCTTGGACTGATCAGCACCAAATGCTATATTCACAACCAATCATGGATGTGGAAGATCAGAGAATCATGTTGAACAAAAACCTTCCATTTTTGATAAAACCAAATTGGTCTAAATACAATCAAGAAACAATCATAAAAAACCCCATAAAATTTGTAGTCAGTTAATAATAGGTCATTGTTGACACCTTTTATCTGACAAATTCAACAAGCAACTTCAGGGTTAAGAAGCCCAGTTTGGTGGTGGGAAGACTGAATCATAATAATTTAGCAAAACTTGGATTATATTTGAAACTCCAAAATAGTAATAAACACAGATCCTGATACAGCTAGTTAAAATAGGAACCTATCATCCTTGCTATTCTTTGCTGGATATCGAAGAAACCAACATAAATATCAGCTTAAATATCTTTAGATCAAACATTAATGCTATAAATAAACAAAATGTTTTTAGGTTTTGACATGTTAGATAAGTAGTAGCCTATTTATAACCCATTCAAAGCAATGTTCTATGTCTCAGTGAGTAGTGAGGAATCATTTTCAGGTTACACCATTCATAACACAGTGCACAGGCCACCCATCATGGTTAAAATATTTTTATTTTACCTCTTCTTTATGCACACATGCCAACAGTTTGTATAATATCTAAAATAGCTCCCTGTCTCCTGCCTCTCTCATGTGACCCCCTCTCTCTGCCCAGCGCCTCTCAGAGCTGTGTTGGGCGGTCAGCTGCTTGTGCTGTCTGTCCCTTTAGATCTGCAAGGGCTCACAGCAGCAGGACAGATTAGTCTGATCTCAGCATGCTGCGCCATCCCCGCTCTGACTGCGAGCGCTTTCTACTGGTTTATGCATCCTACAGTCCTAGTCGTGCGGCTTGCCATGCGGTCCCGGTGCGTGGATCTGGACAATGAATAACACCAGCTTGGCGCTGGTTGGAGCGGGCAGCTTGGAGAGCCCACCGGCGCACAGAGCTCTAACAGGCTGCGTCCTGGTGCTGCTCATCATCTGGACGCTTTTGGGCAACATGACCGTGTGCGCGGCAGTTTGTAGATACCGCCACCTGCGCGCCAAGGTGACCAACATCTTCATCGTGTCTCTGGCTCTGTCGGACCTCCTCGTCGCGCTGTTGGTGATGCCGTGGAAAGCCGCGGCCGAGGTGGCCGGCTTCTGGCCGTTCGGCGGTTTCTGTAAGACGTGGCTGGCCTGTGACATCATGTGCTCCACGGCCTCCATCCTTAACCTGTGCGTCATCAGCGTGGACCGGTACTGGGCCATCTCCAACCCGTTCTGCTACGAGCGGAGCATGAACAGGAGGGTGGCCTTCATCATGATCGGCGTGATTTGGACTGTATCTGTGGTGATCTCCTTTGTTCCGGTGCAGCTGGACTGGCATCGGGCGGAAATCAGTGACCCCGGCGGGCGGACTACGACCCCACGCGTGGAGAGCACCGACAGAAGCTGTGACTCCAGCCTGAGTCGCACTTACGCGATCTCCTCCTCCCTTATCAGCTTCTACATCCCTGTAGTGATCATGATCGTCACCTACACCCGGATCTACCGGATCGCCCAGACGCAGATCCGGGTGATATCCTCCCTGGAGCGCGCGGCGGAGCACGCCCAAAGCTGCCGGACACATGTTCCTGAGCTCTTCCCACACATGTGCACAGAAATCGGAGCCAGCTCCTATCAGCCCCGCATCAGCATCCACCCTGTTACCCAGTGCCCAGATCAATCACACCGGGAGCTGAGAGTCTCCATCAGAAAGGAGACCAAAGTGCTGAAAACTCTCAGCATCATAATGGGGGTTTTTGTCTGCTGCTGGCTGCCCTTCTTCGTCCTGAACTGCGCTCTTCCATTCTGCCCCGAACCAGGGGCCCCGGGGGGCCATCGCGGCCCCTGCTGCGTCAGTGAAAAAACCTTCGATGTCTTCGTGTGGATCGGGTGGAGTAACTCCTGCTTGAATCCGGTGATTTATGCGTTTAACGCAGACTTCAGAGACGCCTTCCTTCGCCTGCTGCGCTGCCGCGGCAGAGGCTTCCTTTCGGCGGTGAGCACCGCGGTGGAGACCATGATGGCGGGCAACGAGGCCGGCCAGAAGAGGCGCGACAGCACCCTGAAGCCGAAGCTCAGCGTGTCCGTGAACACGCGTGGGAGTCAAGACAGCGGGGACACCACCATGGTGGTGTTTTATCACGGAAGGGCCACGATGGAGCAGGGGACGGACACTGAGGAAAGACTGACACAGATACCCAGATAAATCCCAAATCTATGCACATTTTGTTACATTTGAGTTACATTTAAATGGTTTTTGACTGTTAAACAAATGAATCAAAACAAATAGGTTTTATTTTTCAAATATGGCAGTCCAAAAGTTTCACACTTTGTTAAAAAGCCAAAGACATTAATCTAGTTTGTAGAATCTTTCCTAAATTAATCAAAATGGAAACAAAGACGTGGATTTAACCATTTTATAAATTGTGAAAGTCCTATTTTTGTTTTTCCAAAATTTTTATTGTTTTCAATATATTTTTTCTTAATTCATACATATTTAATCGGATAGTTTTTTTTTTATATCTTAACTTAAAGTACCAAAAATGTTCCGGGCTGATATATATGATAGTAGGTGATTATATTTGTGAGTAATCACATATTGTAAGTAAATCACTTTATTATTCTTTTCATTTTGCAGCACGGTTCAATGATGGGAAAAGAAACTCACCTCAGTCACCTGTTCGCCCTTTATACAGGTTTGCTGACGCGTTTAAACCTCCTGTTTAACATTATTTTTATAGCAAATGAGAGAATTCAATGACTCACTTAACCCCATCCCCCTCCACCACCGAAAAGTTAATATAAAAATGAAATCTTAAGAAAGAAACCCACTCTTTAGCCTTCTGGGTCCCTGGGCTGCATGGTAAAATGACCTGCAGATGAGCTTTAAAGTTATGAAGTGCATTATTTTGATATTAGATAACCTTTTTAAATATTTCCCACCAGCCTGACCAGGACTCTGAAGGAAGAAGTGGGAGAATATGGATGATAGATATTTTTTTCTTACACTATATTGAATACTGCCATCTTCTTTTTTTATAATTGAAGTATTTTTCCAGAAATTTTATCCACTAACATATCACCAAAGAATCTGAATGTTGTGGGATTTTAAAAACTGCTTTCAACAATTCAAAAAAACAAAATATCCTCTTTATAAATGTAGTGATAGTTATTGGTCTTAGCTTTTTCCTAATAACAATGATGCCGCACTAATTGTCAATATTTTAGGTTAAATGTTACCAATGATGCATTGTGACCCACATGTCCTCGGCATATACGTGACAGAAATGCACATTGATGATACTAGTGAGATCCAGGTCTACAGCCTTCTGAAACAAACCTACAAAAATGCAGTAAAAGCTAAACCTCTCTCGTACACAAACCAAAAATGTCTGAAGGTGCAGTCACACAAAGTAGAAAGAAGAAATTAGG